GAAAAAGACGGAAAACAAACAATTAGAATAGCAAAAAATGAAAGTAAAATTTGCTTCAAGTTATCTCATACAAAACCATGAAGACGTAACAGGTAGCCTATATGTGACAGATCCTCAGAGATTAGGTTATACACACAGCTAATAAAAATGAAAGTCGATCAGCATAATTACAAACCTAGTATTATCAATTTAGTACAAACACAACGGTAAGATGGTATTCCTCATTTATAAGCGAGAATACAATTTTGAATATATAGTAACCCCATTTTCAATATTTGATCTCTGTATCATGCATCAACAATTTTGATTTTCTTAAACAAGAATGAGCTATTTACTGCTTTAAGAGCTCACCAATTATAAAACGATTTAGAACTTCGAACTTGAGAGAGCAAGAAATAGTTCAACAAAGTTGCTTTATTTAAGGGTTTATTGTATCAGGTTGATATTTAGACAGTTGGATCCTTGGTTAGTGAAACTGTTTTCTATATTTATTTTGCAGGAAAACTAATGGTATTCCACAAAACATGTCATCAAATATAAAAATTTCTTTTGAATATATTACCTCAAGCTGTTACCTAATGGCTGACTTTAATTTGAACACCCACCCTTCCCTAACCTTCCATCATTTTCAGTTACAACCCAACTATACACATTTTTCATTTCAAATAACCAAAATAACATGGTGAATGAGAAATATGGAAAGGCGTACCAAGTGATGTTGGATATTATACCAAATATTCAATTGAAACAAACCTGAAAATCATGGTGTTAAGTCAAGTTAAAATAGGATCTACTGAGTAGGTGTTAGTGAAGGTACTTATAACCCATATTGGTGTAAACTTTAAACTTCAACAATGTCAGTTCATTCTGCATTTAATAGAGAAGAAAACATGGTACAGATGCTGCTTGTAATTCAGAAAACAATAGATACCTACCATAAACACTGCACTGGTGGGCAGGGAAAAAAGTGGGTGGGACATTAGAAGCGAGATGTCTCAAGGGCCAAACATAAGCACCACAAACACACACAAAAAGAAAGAAAAAAACGTTAGTGAAACCATAATGTCTATTAATTTATCTTTTTTGTGATTATTGATTATTCCCTAATTCCCTTTTGATGCAAGATTGCCATTAGAATGTATTTGTAGTGAATAGGAATAAGTGTCAACCTGTACCATAAATAATAATCACCCGTGTTGTAGGCTGATGAGGGCCTCCTCTTTCACCATCTTCATGACCTTCCACATAAGCTACAAAAGAAAGTAATGTATGAAAATGAATACTTCGCCCTANTAATAATCACATGTGTTGTAGGCTGGTAAGGGCCTCCTCTTTCACCATCTTCACGACCTTCCACATAAGCTACAAAAGAAATTAATGTATGAAAAGGAAGGAATGACTATACTGCTTTTAAACATTTATTTAGATTTTCACAGTATGTTTTTACATGTTCATAACGCTTGTTGCATTATACTTACCAACATTCACATCGAGAGGAGGCCTTTGATTCAACCAAGCTGAAGGTGGTTGCTGCGTGAGTAAAATATGAAATCTCAGTTCTACAACTCAACCCATAAGACAAGTATTAAGTAGAAAATGTTGTATCTGCTTACTTCAAAGCAAGAGAGCAGCCACATGATATGAATTTGAAGATTAATAAATAAATAAACACACAAGATATAGAACTCTCCGTAGAGTGATTCATCAAGTAAATCAGGCATAGAAACTATCCACCCAACAGCGCAGAGAGTTTGTAAAAGATTTTACTATATAAGGGCTAGGTCTTCCTGCTCCACCTCTCATTTCAGGAACCCCACCATTATCATTTGCAGATGAATACTCGTAAGGGGTTATTGGAGTGCCTCTCATTTCAGGAACCCCAGCCAGGCTAGGCCTGCCAAATCCCAATTCACCATCTCTTCAAAAACTGACACCTCCTAAATTCACCTCCCAAACCTCACCATCTCTCAATCCCCATCAATCCTCAAATCAGTCGAGCGCGACTTATGTTTCCTCAACACTCCTTCCTCTCCTCCCGCTTCTCCCTAGAGCTCAATCTCTTCTCTTCCGAATGGCATCTCTTGCCTCAAAACTTTTTGGAGTATCACCCAATAGATCTCATTGGCTCAGTGCCTTTCGACGTTCCCTTCCTCCTTTTTTGTCTTCCCAAACCCAATCCGGTGTGTAGCAAAAACCGATAATGTCTTTAATTCTCTAACAATGAATGATGAAGATTAAAGGTTTTTTTTCGGTTTTTGGGAGTTGAGGAGGAAGGGACTTTTGTGTAAATTTGATATTTACTAAGAATTTTCAGAGCCTTTTGGGTGAAACTTGAAATTTGGA